TTATTTCCCATGGTTTTCCATCTTAACAAATTAATTTTTTCCAATCAGGCGTACTAAATGGTCCAGATATACGAAAGCTGATTAAAAGTGATGCATTTAACAATATTTTTTGTTTTTGCCAAAATGTTACAACTAAGCGAAAAAACATCAAGATAAGGAAAAAAAAGGGGTCTTAAGGTCAAAAAAACTGACACATAGGAACGCCAAACCCTTTGAGGGTTTTGCTGTACTGACCTAGTACCATCACCCTGACTTGGAATTTCTCACCCCCCAGACAATAATCCCAAAAATGTTCCACAGTGTTATTACAAACATAGTTTTTCAAGTAAATTCTAGCTACATGTTTAAAAATATTAGAACCAAAACTGGATGAACCGTTGCTTATGTAATAGGTACATTTTATTCAATTAGACTACAAGTCACTACGAGGCAGTAACAAAAATATTTGAAAATTATTAAAATATTAAAATAAAATGTCACTGTACATGGATGAACACATAGGTTAGAAACAAGCAAAGCTGGGTTTTTTTTATACAAAAAATAAAAATAAAAACGAATTAAACGATAAATATTCAATACCTAKCAACACGATTTTTAATTGGAAGGTTTCATGCCAGACTTTTTATATATAAATTCATGTGCGGCATCGTAATGTGGACTTGCTTGCTCTCGAACACGTTGCATCCACTCGGCGATTTTTGGAAATTTCTTACTAACATCATAGTGTGCTAATTCTACAAGCATAAAAGCATATTCCATTAATTTTTAATATATCTATATTAAATGTACATATTACTCACTCGTTTGTTCCACTTCGCAAGCACCAAATAAATCGGCCACAGTCATTTTATTGGCCACTACAAATTTTGTGTCCTTCAACCAAATCTCCTCTAAAATTTTTAATTGTGACTCCATATTTTTACTTAAGATAGCCGCTTTCTCCGCGCTAGGTTTCGGTTTTATACCGTTCATTGGGAGTAGCCACATATTAAGAAAATATGTTGCACAGCCCAAACGCACACCCAAATGCTGCCATTCGAGAAATTCATCAACGCGTGCACGCTGTTCTAATGCTTTCGGATAGAGCAGTTCACTAAATTGACCCTTATCGGCGAGATATCTAAAACACCAATAATAATTTTTTATCCCCAATGTTGGTAATAGCTCACCTAACCATCGCTACACTCTCGCCAAGATGAAAGTCTCCATCTACGAGCGCCGGCACTTTTTGAAAGCGATTTATTTGTTGGTACTCCGGTTTCAGTTGTTCAGCTGCGTTCGTTAAAAAAACAATAGTTGTATTATGTTTACATTTCATGCATTATTACACCATATATATACTTACACTTTCTCAATGCCACAGGACAGTCTTCATATGGTATCTTACCCAATCGCAATGCAATCCATAAGGCGCGTGAGGGTTGCGACATTAAATCATAGTAATATTTGAACTTTGCCATTGTAGTATTTTATTAAATAATTTATTTTTCCAATTGCCAGTGTTCGCACCTCCGGATAGTAGAGTCTAAAGTTCGCATGTTTCAGAGCTTTTTAACGCACTCTCTTTCCATGCCATACACCATCTCTGTTATGTTGTTTTCTTTTATCATGTTTGCTTTGCGATAACAATCTGTTATTTATTTTGTGCTTGTGTTACGAATTAGTGCATAACTAAATCAAGTGATAATAGCGTGCATAGAACGTATATATATAAATATACGTTCTCTGAATAGCGTGTAGTAAGCTTTTGTTAAATAAAAGCTTAATGGATGGGAATAGTTTTGTTTGCCTGATCGATAGGAAAGGTTTTCAGATCTATTTAATTTTGAAATAATAAAAATAATAATCTAATATTTTAAATCGATATCTCAAACAGTTTTTGAGTTACAGCCTTCGAAATTATAGCCGCTCAGTTCAAGCAGCTCTATAATTTTATATTTAAATGTTCTTTTTTTCAACTATTTAAAAACGTTTTTCAAATTTGCTTGAGTGATTACTCGGAAGCAAATAATGCGATCACTTAAAATTTTTTTTGTATATTCTGTACATATTTAGAGTTGAAATGTTCATATAAGTAAATTAATATGTATGTATACAAAATGGGACGAAGGCCTAAGCAGCCAGTTCTTTTTTTTCTAGTATGTCTGTAAATTAATTTACAGGTCATATTATAATTAATAAATAAATAAATATTCTAAATWATTCCTATCAGTTTTTTAATCTGATCAGAAATCGATTTTGGCAGGTCAAAAGATATCAAAATTTTGTATAAAATCATACATACGACCGCGATAACTGCCAAAATACAGAATCGCAACAAAATCCGCAGGTCTCTAGCCGGCAGTTTATGGGGAATACGCAAAGAAACGTTATTGGTAACATATATAGTAAGTTCATCGGTCGGCAGATCTTAAACTACGTCGCACCGATATAGTCGCCTGGATGTAGTGAAACGCACACGAAGAAGCTTTAGACTTGTCAAAGCACTGCACTCCGGACTATAACAGAATGCCTATTGATGTCTATAGTCGAATACATACACAGCGAAGCTTACATAACTCTTACCATCTCTTAGCATGCCTAGCAAACCCCACTCATCTAACACTTCTCTTTCTACGGTCAATAGCTCATTTCCTAGGCCTGCCTTTCGATGACAACCATAACAGCTGCTTCTAGGCACTGGAATTGAACTGGATTTTATCCGCTCAAGGGCTGCTACTTCGGAGACATAAGCCCGTTTATATCGTTAAGTCTTAGAATGACAACCAATCTGAACCTTACCTCAGATTTCATCCGCGAAGAAGGATGCAATCRCTGCAGCACTCAAAAAGTTTACTGTTTGTTCTTGAAATAACTATAAATATACACCTAATATTTTAAAACACTTGGATTAAGATTTGTTTTCCCCCAAAAATGGACTTTTATAGGCTGTCACACTAGGGGTGTCTCTTAAAGAAATATCCTTARGAACATTGTAAAATAAAATTACTTACTTGCCGCCCAGTATTTTTTGTTTTCCTTTCCAAAATGCATCGCAGTAAATTTCCTAAAGTAAAAAGTCGTTGTTTTCAAATTGTAATATATTTTCCAATTTTTTCTTTTATTACTTATTTAAGGTATTTATAGTGATTGAATGACAATTTTATGAACTTAATAAATTCCATATATTGAAGGAAGATTTCTGAAAATAAATAATGTAAATTTGTAATTAAAAATGATGGCAGGGTAATGAGCGGATGTGTTGCTATTTAAAATGAAACAATTTTGAAAAAAAATATAATATTAAAAAAATTAAGGTTATATGTGAAAAATAATGAACATATCATAACTTAAAATTATGCTTTTTAAATATATTTAAGAAAAAATTAAGATAACGTGTGCACAAAAATTAAAAATAAAATAAAACCAACAGTAAAAAAATAATTAGAAACGCAAAATACATATGAATATTGCTTTAAATACTAAAATTAAGTAATTTGACTATTGATGTGTGCGAAAAATGACAGAAGAGCTTTGAATAGTACGGAATTTCCTGAACCACAAGCGACTTTAAATAATAAAAAATATATTTTCGATCTTGTATAAGAATATGTATGTGCTGCTCTGAAAATAAATGTTTCGAGTGTCAGTTTTAACAAACTTTTCTTTGTTGCTTTGAATTTGCATTCAGTATAATATATAAAATAACCAATTGCTATTTGGAACTATTTTAGGGTTTCTACTGCCGCTGATTTTGGCAAAAAATATTCACCGTTTAATCTAAGTCTCGGTTTTATATTTTTATAGCACTGTTAAATCTTACAAAAAAAAAAAGATAACAATGTAGTCCCCGCGCTAGACAGTTCGTCATTTATTTAAACAATAACAATTCACATAATTGTTTGTTGCCTAGAAAAGCAATTCATGCTTATCGATTGAAAGAGTGTTTTAAGTATTTCTCTTGTTTACTGTATTAGTGTTTGCTTTATTCGAGAATACGATGAGCGAACAAAAATTTAACGCGAATTAATTTCAACGGCAATGAAGCTAAAAGTCTTAAAATATTTTGTTTTTATTATATGTATATATGTTTGTATGTATGTGTGTACCATACGCAATTTAAGTATGTCGTGTATATACAGATTAATTAGAACAAAAGAGCTACATTATTTCCAGAAGCTATTAGAATAATGATAAGGTGTGATTCATAGTATAAGGGGTAAAAAAATTTATATGATTTTATTTGTTCGAATATGGTTCAGGCCCGTAAGCCGTACTTAAATTTGCAATTACGAGTATCACTCTTAATTAAATTAATTATTAATATACATGTTATATAAGTATATTTGTAATGTAAATATTTTAAATCTGTTAATATGTCAAATATATGAAATATAAAATATATATGTATATTTTTAAAAATTATTAGTGGTTAAAGTGTTTTAACTCAACGATCATAAAGTTGAGTAAAAAGTTCAATATTATGCTATAATCAAAAAAMATTGTTAAATACATATGTATGTACATCGAAAGCGTTCTTAGAAATTATTTTKGAAAAATTGAAGATAATTGACAGTCAAAAAATTGCAAAGAAACCACAAATAAATGTTAATAAAACACATTTTTAAATACAGCAAAAGTGTTAAAGTATTTTGTATTTAATAATTTTCTTTTTACTCGTAAATTGCATATATACATATGTATATATTTGCTTGCAAAAAACAATTTAAAATAACTTTTTATTACTTATTAATTTTCTTGTTACTCGTAAATTGCATATTTTTGCTTAAAAAAAAAATTTTAGTTAAATTTTTATTTATTTAATTTTGTTCACATAATATTAAAAATCACATATATAGTATGTATGTATGTAGATGCTATGCACATTAATGAGTTCGTTTATACGAAATAAATGAAAACCAATTTGGTCAAAATAAAAACAAAAAAAAACAAAAAAACACAGACAATTGTACCCAATTTTCAAAGGGAAACATATTTAACTTAGTTAAAAATCTCAAYGGTTTTGTAAGTTTATATATAGTCAATATTTCGAACACGTTTAACAATTAAATGCCTAGTGGTTTAAGACAATTTTCACACAAAAAATGGAATCGCGTATTTGCATACAATTAATATTTAAACTGTTAATTAGTTTTTTTTTTAGTTTTACTTAAAATGGTAATGATAAACACACCACAATATATATATGTATATAATAACTATATATCTAAAATGAGTGATTTACAATGTACACTTTCACATTTCTGTTTTTTTTTTGTTGTGTATATAATATGTGTCTGTTATCTGTATTTGTATTAATATAGTTTCGTTTTGTTCAAATTTTTTAATTTCTCTCGTTATTTACCATTTCCAAAAAACATACACCATATACATATAAAGCTTCGCTTTTAAATATATACATCCATGAAAAATCTTTCCCAAAAATAACTTTGTTTTAATATAAATGAAGCTTTTAAAAATTACTTTATATTTTTATATATGCAGTGTATATTATATAGCTCTCTCTATGTATTATGTATGCATATATAGTATACATATTTCTTTATATATGTATATACTATATACTACAACTTTTATGTGAATACGACGCCAACATTCAAGTAAATAGTTGCATTTGTTCCGTTGCTTTTAGCTCTATATACCGTTACTTTCATATTCTTTACTGTTAACTTATCGCTTGTGTTGGCTGTGCCGTTATGTTGTTTGTTGCCTTCGTGTATGAAAACTTAGTTATAAATATGACACGCCGCTAAATAAATTGCATATTCTCGTTTAAAACATTTTGTTTTTGTTTTTACTATTTACGCAGTAAATTTTTTACGAACTGTTGTTTTTTAGTTTGTTCAATTTTAGTATATACTTTTGTTTTTGTTTTTCGTTTGCACTTTTTAACTAACGCACAAAAAACGCAAAATGCTGCAAAGTTATATMCGTTGCTGTTCATGCAGCTTAAATAATTTTCTTCTGGATTATTTCACATTGTGTTTTATATTTATACTTTCGCTTTTTTAATGTTTATTTTTTTTTATATATTTTTATAATGTACTTGTATTAGTTAATTTGTTTCGTTTTATAACTTTTGCTTTCATTTAATCAATATTTAATTTACGAAAAGACTCTTCAGGTACACTCACACATTTAGGCGATGGCGGCGAGACTGGTGTGGGCGGCGTCTTATTAGCAGCCGTACCAACTGTTGGCTCAATTTGTCGCAATGTCTCATCGACGCCATACTTTTCATCCTCATCGAAATAATTGCTAAAATCGTTGAGCTGTTGTTCGAAATTTGCCATGGCTTCTTCGTAGGTGCCATTATTACCACCATATTCGACGGGCAGATACTCCTTGCCAATGGCCTTCTGCAGTGACTCCAGCGTAGAGTGTATGTGGAGCTGTGCAAATGATATATGAATAATAAGTATAAGAAATTTAAACGAAATAACCGACCCTGTCATTGTGTAAACCCGACTAACGGTGAAAAAGAAATTTTAATGTCTGTGCTTATTCTCACGTAATATAAAAGAACTAGCTTTAAAACTTTTTTAAATTTAATTTGCATATTCTCTTTCCTTTGAGTCTATTTGCATATGCTATCAAAATTTAAAAGTTAACTTAAAGTTGTATATGTATTTAACATCCTTGTTCTGGTAGACTAAACTTTTTGTGTCCATAAATATTTCAAAGTTGTACACTTTAGTATGTGGCTTGACTCACCAATTCTCTTTGTTTCATAACCAGACGCACCAAATTCAATATGATTTGGGCATCCATGGAAGCATTTACGATGTGTGTGCCCACCAGATTGGTGGGTACGCCATATTCTAAGAATGCGGCCATCTTTTTGAATAAATTCGCTTCGAATTGACGCAATAATGCATACGGAATTTTCGAAAAATCGATTATTTCAAGCACACCACTAATAATCCAATTATCATCGGTGTTGGCCTCAATTTCAGAACGAAACATTATGAAACGGAAGATATCTTTGGCCGTATAGAGGGAGGTATCAATTTGACCCATACGTGTGAAATGTATGCGCGGACCGCCTGGACCCACTGGTTTCGGTAGTGTGGCGAATATGCTATGGAATGAATGAAAACACAGAAAATTAATTAATAATACATACGAGTATATACAATAAATTTGCAATGAATAAGAAACTAACCCCGCACGACAAATGCCAAATACTTTATCGTCAATGCGTCGAGACTTAAGTAAATCGCCAGCTGTTGTTTTGTACGTGTAATAGTAGTCGATACGTTTCTTCGCGTCATCCATATTGTATTTGCAGAAACGCAGGAAGCCCACAAGGAATTGATCATCGGTCCGCGCCGTCAAATATGGCTGTTCTTCAATCCACCGACGCAGCTCTATAATTTTGCTGGCAATATCTGTTTCGACTTCATTGAGTTCGGTGCGCGCGACCGCAGCCAGCTCGGGTGCCAGTGGGCGAATTTGTGACATTATATGTATGTATGGAGAATTTTTACTCGTGCCGGAAATGTTCGTAAGTACACAATTTTGCTGGGCCAGAAGAAATTTTCAAATGTTTTTGCTTGAGATTTTCTTATTGACGGTGATTTAAAATATTATTTATCTGCAACGAGACATTTTTAAGTATATTTAGAATTTTGAATAAATAAAAATGAAAAGTATTTTCATTATGTTTTATGTTTTATTCAATGAAAGTGTAGTATCACAATTGTGTTTTTACGGATTTTCAGACAAATGCCACAGGTGTATAACAATTGTAAATTAAAAATCGATATGTACATTTATYGCCGGCTTATCATATGCCTCAAATACTTTCATTCACTTCACTTATTTCAAAAAGATTTTTTGCAAATACTTTAAATATGAAATATCTCTTTTAAACTCGCCTGTGTTTTCTTTTTCTAAAGACTTAACTATAGTTTTTTCTTCCTATTATTTGTGTATTTACAAATAATACCAACATTATGCTCGARACGTAAAGTCAAACTGACTGCAAAACGCATTCGCAAAATGCGCTAATAAAATGTACCGTTCACTCGTCGCTACCCTTTTCCTGATTAGACATTCCAGCTCATTCCCCTGTGCCAGTAAAACATGAACTTTTCTTTATACTTTATTGTCGATTAATGGTTCGTTGTAGATATATTTCTCTACTGATAAGATATGTAAATACATGCTGTCTACATATACGAACACAAATTTATGGCGTTATAATAAATGCAAATTTATGTAAGTACATGTATGTACATATGTCTTGCTTAAGGTTTTCGTAATATAGAAAACATTAAATAAATTTGAAACAGTTAAAACGATATTGTAGGCACCTTCGGTTGTWACTGGGAACCCTTTTATTTGTTCATTTAAGACATTATCTAGGAAAATAGCACATCCGCACGTAGCATTTTTTTCTTTTTCATTTAGGCATGCGCCTTTGAGGTTATTCTTAAATTAAGGCTTTAAAACCTTTAAGCTGCCTCCGAATGGATTATATCTATAGTGTTATTGAAAATTCCCACATGAGATCATCAATATCTAATGTATCGCGAAGGACATTTGGYGGTTAAGTCTTGTCCACTTTAACGCTAATTCAGTGAGCTTAAAACCAGTGTTATCAGGTTGRAGACTAGCAGAGATTCCGGGCTGAGCAAGCGTTGATCATCAACCACCACTTCCCCATAGTGGGGAGCGTAAAAGCTCCATTCAACTGCTCGTTCTAGGAAAGACTCATGGCAATGATAGGCATTCTAACTATCTTATCGACACTCACACGGTTAGGCTAAATATTATGTAGAACGAAACTTGTTCAAGTTTCAATAAGGGAGATGATGTGAAAATATCTACACACTTTCACTTCTGTCCAGTTTTGCCAGACTAAGTCTAAAGCATCCCGGTTGCCATATTTTTTAGGCGTTTTGTCGCTTGCTGTTGTTGTTGCTGAAACGGGTACCTAATCCCCGTGAGGATGGTAAAGATTAGACAAGTTGTCGTCGACGTCATACAACGATGGATCCTCGAAACGTGGTGTTTCGACGGGGTCGGACAAAAGTCACCCTCCTTTCTCCAGGCTTCTCGACCTCTTCATCTGCAATGGTAGTGCTTTGACTTCAAATACGCCATTCAATGAGATGGAGTCGGCGAAAGTGTTGATGGCTACATTGTGAATAGCGATCAGTGCTTGGCGCAAGTTGCGTCCGAAGTCTGGTTAGCGTATTGTGGTGTTGAAGTCGTTGACTTGGGTAAGGAGAGACCTCTTGCTGCTCTTAGGAGGCGGTTCCACTGAAAACAGAAGACTGCAGAGATGATTTCTGTGGTGGCACACCGGCAGAAACTGCTTGGAGAGGAGTTCATTATGCTCCTTAACTGGGAGCATACGGGCCTTGCTATGCAGGTGTTCGATAGGAGACATCAGGAGGCATTCYGTCGTACTTCGCAGTGCAGAATTCTGATAAATATGGAGCCTCCTTGTTTTCGTTTCACTGAATCCAGGCGACCATATTGTAAGTTGCCAACAACGTTTTTTTATCCTTTCCGTGCTACCAGCTAGCGACTTGAGGATTCTGTTGAGGCTCTGTACCTTGGCGATAATCGCGGCTGTGTGAGGTCTTTCAAAGCGGACAAGCATCTCTAGTAGTTCAAGTAGGATTGTTCATGGTTTCACGAAAAATCAGCCTAATTTTACCGAACTTTAGATCTTAGAAAACATTAAGACTTGAGAACCACGCGAGCAAAGATGMAACAAAAACATCTCAGCTTTTAAAATTCCGATGATAACATTATCTCCAGTTAAAAACCGGCTGCGGAAATATCATTGAACTGAATTTCTCAGTAAATGACAAAATGTATTTAAGACTTTGCCAGGCGTGATATATTGTATATCCGTTTTTGCCAACAGCAAACAACAAAAACAAGCACCAAATACACATATATGTATATTATCTTTTSTAGACATTTAATCGATGCAAATTACACGGAATTGCTGAAATTGTGTGGAAATACTTTTTGTGCACCATGTTACCACAATTAAAAAACTTTAACATACATATCTATTTAAATCAGTATTATTATTATTATAAATCGATATAATTTTTTTTCGTTGAACAACGCATTGAAACGCTTGACTAACGCATAAAATAGTCAGTAGCATTTAAATCTCTATAGTGGATAGTACGAGTGGGACTTCATTTGCTCACACAACACGCGCATTCCGTCGGAAAAATTCGAATAAATCATAAAAAAAAAAAAAAATTTCAAATTAAATGGCAGCCATACGCCCTTTAAGCGCTGAATTGCAGAAAATCGCCATTGAGGAGCTAAACGAGGTACCCGAACGTGTGCCACAGGACATAGCGGCATTACGCGATTGGATCGAAAAGCAATCGCATTTGCGCGCACGCACCGACGATCAATTTTTGGTCAGCTTTTTGCGCGGCTGCAAGTACAGTCTGGAGAAGGCCAAATCAAAGATAGATTACTTCTACACAATACGCACAATGTTGCCACATATTTTCGGAAATAATACGCTGGCTGATCCGAAGAACTTGCTTATTGCACAATCAGGGTGAGTTCACACATCTTCGCATTTAATTTTGTCGTTTTTATYTGCGAATTTGTTTCTCTTGCAGCGGCATTGTTGCATTGCCAAAAACATTGGGAGTCGGTGGTCCAGTTATTGGCTTCTCGCGTTATAAAATAATCGATGATTTACCAATTACCGTTAAGGATTACTGCAGATACATCGCTATGGTGACGGACAGGACTATAGTCGGCGCTGATGCTTATGTTATAGGCGGTTACATGGAAATTGTTGATGTCGACAAAGTCGGCATGAGTGCAATGTCGAAATTCGATCCGGTGACAGGCAAACAATTCAGCACATATTGCATGAAGGGCTCTGCTATACGCATTAAGGGTATACATATTATAAATGCGCCCAAAGAGGCTTACACAGCTCTCAATATTATACGCAATCTCTTTCCGGCCAATATAAAAGAAAGGGTATGCCATTGCTCTACRCTAGTCTAGTATTTTACGTGTTTCATTTAAAACCGCTTTTATATTCTTATTACAGTACTTTATACACCGCAACATGGCGGATTTGTATAAATATGTGCCCAAGCAGTATTTACCAATCGAATATGGCGGCTCCAATGGCTCATTAAGCGATTTGACAAAGAAACTTGTAGACGATTTGCGGGACTTTAATAACTATTTTAAAGAGAACGATAAATATGGCGTTGACGAAAAKCTAAGGCAAGGCCAAAGTATGGATATGAACTCCATATTCGGTTTGGAGGGTACATTCCGAAAGCTTGATATTGATTAGATTTAAAAGCATGTAAAACTACTATTTATTTTGGCAAACTGTTTTTTGGTATTTTTTCTTTTCGATAAAWAAAAAACAATTTACGGATGTAGTGTAACTTTTTCTTGGTTGAACAATATTGCATAGTTAGTCGAAAAAATCTTTTCGTATTTTGTCAATAGATGTGGTTGCAGTCGTATATCTCCAGTGTCCAAGTAACTGTAATCACATTGTGTTATGCCATATAGTGTTGGAAAAATTAAATTCGGAGTATTTAAAAAAGGTTACTGCTGTTCAAAAATGARTTAAAATAATAAAGAAATCCACTATATTTTGGTAACAGGAGACGAAAAGTGGATCAAATATGACAATAATGTGTAAAAAGATTATGGTCCAAGCGTAGTGGAACTTAASAAATGGTCGTAAAGCCAGGATTGACGCCTCAAAAGGTTATGCTGAGCGTTTTGTGGGATTGGAAAGAAAACATCCACTATTAGCTGCTCCAGCCTGGTCGAACAATTGATTCTATATTTTACTGTCAACAACTGATGAGATTGAAGCAAGCATTTGAAAAAAAATAGTCAGAACTGATCAACAAATCGTCCTCCATTAGGATTACGGTAAACCAAACACAATTTTGATGACTCGGCAAAAACTGGGAGAGCTTGACTGGGAAGTCTTGATGCATCCACCATATAGCCCTGACCTTGCACCAGCGACTACCATTTGTTTCGGTCAATTCAGCACTCTCTTAATGAAGTAAAGATGGCTCCAAGAAAAACCTGTGAACACCACTTGTCGCTGTTTTCGCAGAGACCCCAGAAAAGTTTTACACATGGTACATATTTGGTTCCTTAAAGTTGATTATAAATAAAAGAAGTTCAAGTTTGGTTAGAAATACGAAAATACTTTTTCGACTACCCAATATTTTATTTACCCTTAAGTTGGGCAATTTGATATGATCTTCACAAATAAATACAATTTTAAGTATATATACTTTATATAGAGATATGTATATGTAAACAAATATATTATACTAACAATAAGCCACTAAAAAGCAGCAATACTTGATGTTATCTGCTGGAATCGCCTATCTAATCTTTGATCTAGTGCAAAAGCACATCGCTCGACCAAAGCGTTGTTAATTGAATTACACATTTTTACGTTGAAGATAAAGCGTCGAGACAAAGAAGCAAGGAAAGAGAATCCTCGCGTTTACAATTTGTTTTTATTGTTATGAAAATAATTATTTTTTTAAGTTTATTTAAAATTTCTTCTGGGCATGTTCACATTTTCTAAAC